ACTATGGCAGGGTCAACATCACCATGGCAGGGTGAGCACCACCATGGCATGGTCAACATCATCATGGCAGGGTCAACACCACCATGGCAGGGTCAACATCGCCATGGCAGGGTCAACATCACCATGGCAGGGTCAACATCATCATGTCAGGGTCAAAATCATCATGACAGGGTCAACATCATCATTACAGGGTCAACATCACCATGGCAAGGTCAACATCACCATGGCAGGGTCAACATCAACATGGCAGGTCAACATCACCTTGGCAGGGTCAACATCATCATGGAAGGTCAACATCACCATGCAGGGTCAACATCACCATGGCAGGGTCAATATCACCATGGCAGGATCAACATCATCATGGCAGGGCCAACATCACCATTGCAGGGTCAACATCATCATGGCAGGGTCAACATCCCCATGGCAGGGTGAACATCACCATGGCAGGGTCAACATCTCCATGGCAGGATCAACATCATCATGGCAGGGTCAACATCATCATGATAGGGTCAACATCATCATGGCAGGGTCAACATCACCATGGCAGGGTCAACATCACCATGACAGGGTCAACTTCACAATGGCAGGGTGATCACCACCATGGCAGGGTTAACATCATCATGGCAGTGTCAACATCACCATGGCAGAGTCAACATCATCATGGCAGGGTCAGCATCATCATGGCAGGGTCAGCATCACCATGGCAGGGTCAACATCACCATGGCACGGTCAATATCACCATGGCAAGGTCAACATCACCATGACACGGTCAACATCACCATTGCAAGGTTAACACCACCATGGCATTGTCAACACCATCATGGCAGGGTCAACACCACCATGGAAGGGTCAACATCATCATGGAACGGTCAACATCACCATGGCCGGGTCAATATCACCATGGCAGGGTCAACATCATCATGGCAGGGTCAACATCACCATGGTAGGGTCAACATCACCATGGCAAGGTCAACACCACCATGGCAGGGTCAACATCACCATGACAGGGTCAACATCATCATGGCAGGGTCAACACCACCATGGCAGGGTCAACATTACCATGGCAGGGTCAAGATCACCATGGCAGGTTGAACACCATCATGGCAGGGTCAACATCATCATGGCAGGATCAACATCACCCTGGAAGGGTCAACATCATCATGGCACGGTGAACACCACCATGGCAGAGTCAACATCATCATAGCAGGGTCAACATCGCCATGGCAGGGTCAACATCACCATGGCAGGGTCAACATCACCATGTCAGGGTGAACACCACCATGGCAGAATCAACATCATCATGGCAGGGTCAACATCACAATGTCAGGGTCAACATCACCATGGCAGGGTCAACATCACCATGGCAGGGTGAACACCATCATGGCAGGGTCAACATCACCATGGCAGGGTCAACATCACCATGGCAGGGTGAACACCACCATGGCAGAGTCAACATCACCATGGCAGGGTCAACATCACCATGGCAGAGTCAACATCATCATGGCATGGTCAACATCACCATGGCAGAGTGAACATCATCATGGCAGGGTCAACATCACCATGGCAGAGTCAACATCATCATCGCAGGGTCAACATCACCATGGCAGGGTCAACATCACCTTGGCAGGGTCAACATCACCATTGCAGGGTCAACATCACCATGGCAGAGTTAACATCACAATGGCAGGGTCAACATCACCATGGCAGGGTCAACATCACCATGGCAGGGTCAACATCACCTTGGCAGGTTCAACATCACCTTGGCAGGGTCAACATCACCTTGGCAGGGTCAACATCACCATGGCAGGGTCAACATCACCATGGCAGGGTCAACATCACCATGGCAGGGTCAACATCACCTTGGCAGGGTCAACATCACCATGGCAGGGTCAACATCACCTTGGCAGGGTCAACATCACCTTGGCATGGTCAACATCACCATGGCAGGGTCAACATCACCATGGCAGGGTCAACTATCACCTTGGCAGGATCAACATCACTTGGCAGGGTCAACATCACCTTGGCAGGGTCAACATCACCTTGGCAGGGTCAACATCCCATGGCAGGGTCAACATCACCTTGGCAGGGTCAACATCACCTTGGCAGGGTCAACATCACCTTGGCAGGGTCAACATCACCATGGCAGGGTCAACATCACCTTGGCAGGGTCAACATCACCTTGGCATGGTCAACATCACCATGGCAGGGTCAACATCACCATGGCAGGGTCAACATCACCTTGGCAGGGTCAAACACCATCAATCACTTGGCAGGGTCAACATCACCTTGGCAGGGTCAACATCACCATGGCAGGGTCAACATCACCTTGGCAGGGTCAACATCACCTTGGCAGGGTCAACATCACCTTGGCAGGGTCAACATCACCTTGGCAGGGTCAACATCACCATGGCAGGGTCAACATCACCTTGGCAGGTTCAACATCACCTTGGCAGGGTCAACATCATCTTGGCAGAGTCAACATCACCATGGCAGAGTCAACATCACCATGGCAGAGTCAACATCACCATGGCAGGGTCAACATCACCATGGCAGGGTCAACATCACCATGGCAGAGTCAACATCACCATGGCAGGGTCAACATCACCATGGCAGGGTCAACATCACCATGGCAGAGTCAACATCACCATGGCAGGGTCAACATCACCATGGCAGAGTCAACATCACCATGGCAGGGTCAACATCACCATGGCAGAGTCAACATCACCATGGCAGAGTCAACATCACCATGGCAGAGTCAACATCACCATGGCAGAGTCAACATCACCATGGCAGAGTCAACATCACCATGGCAGGGTCAACATCACCATGGCAGAGTCAACATCACCTGGCAGGGTCAACATCACCATGGCAGAGTCAACATCACCATGGCAGGGTCAACATCACCTTGGCAGGGTCAACATCACCATGGCAGGGTCAACATCACCATGGCAGGGTCAACATCACCTTGGCAGGGTCAACATCACCATGGCAGGGTCAACATCACCATGGCAGGGTCAACATCACCATGGCAACAGAACATGGGTGAATAATTTCCCTCCTGACATATTAACATCATTATAGTACACAGTCAAACTCCGCTCTGCCTCATTAACTGCTTCCAAGAGCTCTGACGTAACTCTTTTTGAGGTAAATCGAACATAATGACTTAAAAATGTCTTAAGATGACGACAAACACCGTAACACTGGCGTAAATAACTCGCGGAAGAATATAACTCCTGGATAACCTTAAAAATTGTGACTTCAAACATATTTTAGTCACATTTTTTAAAGAATAATGAACTTAATTAAAAAATTATGACGTAGATGACGTTGCTGAGTGACGTAAAGTCAGACGTAATGACGTTCACTGAACTGTAGTTTACTCTATAAAAGTGGCGTAAAGGCCAATCTGACGTAGGGAGAAATGGCGTAAAGCGGCGTATTATTGTATTCTGATTAGCTGGTTAAAACAATTAAATGTTGCATTGTGCAAATTAAAAAAAAATTATATTAAATTTAATGATCTTTATAAATTATTTATCAGTAAGAGAACAAAAAGTGTTCCAATAAATTATTTACCAGTAAGACATTAAGAAGTGTTCCAGTATATTTATTGGTTTTATCCGGAGTGCAAGATTTGTTCCAGCGCTTCGCTACCTTCTTATCACTGACAATATAATTACAACCATCATTTATTCCTGCAATTATTTATTTATTTATGTTTGTTTGAATTTATTCTGCACTATGGGTACTATAAATCGAAGACTCACAATATACTAAGAACTTCAGGTGAAGTTTGACTGTTACTTAATATTATGCTAATACTGACGCTAAAGTCTGGGAGAACCATTATAGGCAACGCTGATCCATGTATCAGCAACGCATTACATAGCTGGCGTCTCTCACTGAACCATGTACCAGCAATATATAAGAACACAAGAAAGAAGAACACTACAGCAGTCCTACTGGCCCATGCGAGGCAGGTCCAAGTCACCTCCCGGCTTAAACCAATGACCCACCTAGTCAGGACAGGCCACATCCACTGAAGGAAGAAGCACGGCATCAGACCTATTAGCACAAGCTAGTCAGGTCCAGTTCACACCCACCTACACCCACTCATGTATTTATCCAACCCATTTTTAAAACCACACAACGTCTTAGCTTTTATGACGGTACTCGGGAGTATCGACACCGAACCATGTACCAGCAACATACGTTGCAGCGAATTCTACATTGGGGAAACAAGGTGTGATCTCAAGATACCACCCCCTCAACACATACAAGCGAGTACAACACAGCACCAATAACGTGTGTGTGTGTGTGTGTGTGTGTGTGTGTGTGTGTGTGACACATAGGAACAAGGTCACAAACACCTCATAACCTACGACAAAGCCCAACTCAATTTACATGAAAATGATAGAATTAGGGGGAAGTGCTTGGAAGCAGCCTTCGACAAAACTATGATACCATAGGGCAGTACTAGGGGGCTTCCACGCTAGCGATGTCTCGACTAAGTGATCTTCTACATCACCTATGCAGCATAACAGGTCAAATGACATGTTTAATGTTTTATCATGTAGGTGAGCTGAGAGGTGTGTCCATGCTGAGAGTTCTGGCATGGAGGACCGAGTCCCTGCTACTCTCTACGATGAATAACCCGCACCGGTTTTGCGTTGCCTAATGAATATCAGAGTGATAATAATAATAATAATAGTAGTAGTTGTTGTAGAAGTAATAGTTGTAGTAGTAGCAGTAGTAATAGTTGTAGTAGTAGTAGTTGTATTAGCAGTAGTTGTTGTTATTGTGATTATTATTATTATTATTATTATTATTATTATTATTATTATTATTATTATTATTATTATTATTATTATTATTATTATTATTATTCACAAGGTTAGCACGGACCATTACAGTCATTTTGTTCTGCTAGAGGAAAATGCCTACACACTACATCAGTGGTCTACGATGTGCACAAGTAGGTGAATAAGACACACTGGCAAGATTTGGTTATCTTTATTGTAGAACGTTTCGCCCAGTAGTGTCTTTATCACCCCAGAGAACACTCCTTAAGACAGTGGGAGACATGAAGTGGTAGATGTGGTAGTAATGTAAGGTGGTCAGTCCCTTAGCCTCCTCAGGGACTAATCCCTTCAGACTACGTCTTCACGTCTGTTTGTTCAAATATTTCCTCACTGACAACTGTCTTTCCATCATATTAAGTTAATGTTAACACGTGAATACTCACTTCAACAGTGGTATTAAGGATAACCAAGAAGTTATTATGACGACCAAGACGTCACCAGGACGACCAAGACGTCACAAGGACGACCAAGACGTCACCAGGACGAACAAGAAGTCACCGGAAGGACCAAACGTCACCAGGACGACAAAGACGTCACCAGGACCATCAAGAAGTCACCAGAGCCACCAAGATATCACCAGGACCACCAAGAAGTCACCAGGACGACCAAGACATCACCAGGACGACTAAAAAATCACCAGGACGACCAAGACGTCACCAGGACGACCAAGACGTCACAAGGACCATCAAGACTTCACCAGGACGACCAAGACGTCACCAGGACCATCAAGAAGTCACCAGAACTACCAAGATATCACCAGGACCACCAAGAAGTCGCCAGGACGACCAATACATCACCAAGACGACTAAAAAAATCACCAGTACGACCAAGACGTCACAAGGACCACCAAGACTTCACCAGGACGACCAAGACGTCACAAGGACCACCAAGACTTCACCAGGACGACCAAGACGTCACCAGGACGACCAAGAGGTCACCAGGATGACCAAGAGGTCACCAAAACGATCAAGACGTTACCAGAACGACCAAGACGTCACCAGGACGACCAAGACGTCTCCAGGATGCCCGTGACGTTACCAGGACGTCCTAAAGTCCTCGGGAGGCCCTGTGTTAGAAATTGTGGCATCCATTAAGTGAAGATATTTCCAGAAAATACCAGAAGGTCAACTTACTGATCCTGCTCTAGCATCTAACCTGTTTCTGGTTCTGTAACAGTTTGTTAGACTTTATTCTAGTCCAGTTATCCCGGACAATGTGGTGGCTCCTCAATAGCGCTTTTTGAATTGCAGCTGAATAAAGGCATAACAAAAGTGTCTAGGTGGTAATAATTACAGTTAATGTAGTTTGAATACGGAGATAAGTTTCTACACAGTATAACTTGGTACACTTATATATCATGGTTATTCTGTACATATGATGCTATGGGCACATTCGATTCTACATTACTTTTAATATGTACCATCTGGTACGTTCCTGTGATGAAATGTACTTATGAATACAAGAGTAATATAGGTGTGTAAGTGTGTGTGTTTGTGAGTGCTCGGTATATGCTCGGATTGATTCGACTTAGACTTACAATGTGACATATAACAATACGTCCCTAAATAAGCTAACTTCTGGACCATCGAGACAGTCAAACAGCTTGCTTGAACATAATAACGACTCATGTGCCAAACAGCAATAATGCTCCAAACAGCAATGAACAGCACAGCGTCAGGCAAGGAATGAAGAAGACCAAAACGACCGTAACTATAGTAGACCCTTGGCTAAAACTTCCTTATTACTGAAAATGATTTCAGCAATTCGAATTGCTGAATGTAGTGCATAGATGCCAGAACAAATGTAGGTCGAGAGTTGAACTCGGGACCAGAGATACAGAGTGCCTCACAATACACAACCTCTGAACACGTCAAATAAAACTAAGTCTAAATAATGCTCTATGAACTGAGTTACACAGAGTTACTAGATGCATGCTCCGGCTCACCATCGGAGACATATTCTACCAAAACCAGAGTCTAAGCAACACGAGCTTAAAAGAACAGCATTCTCCCTGACAGAGCAAAGATGGGGGTGTTTCCTCTGCCAGAGAAAGCGAGAGAGAGCTAGGTAAGGCCTGCCAATCCAACGTCTGGTGATTCGTACCGGCTTGAGTCTGGCACCAACTGTGAAACAAGCCGGCAGGTAGTTTGCAGCACTGGTAGCCAGTCTAACATCTTTCACTGAGCACAATGAGAGGTGTAGTTTTTTTTACATTCTACCTACGTATATAATAATATAAAATTTTCGTTTTAGCTATTAACGAAAATTCAGCAATATAAAATTATATGAAAGAAAGCACTATATATACATAATTATAACGTCCTTTCTCCCCTGAAGACGCTACACCCAGAAGATCACTAGGAATGGCAGAAAGAGCAGCAGGCTGCTACGGGAAAGTCTTGACTCGCTAGCACTGGTTATCCTGGCGTAGGCGCTGACGGAAACCCAGCCACCGCAGGGCTGACGAGGGTCATCCCGGCAGTAGAGGTCACAGTGGCCCGTCCCCTCGGCACTCCAGGCGAGAGCCACCTCCATCCTGCAGGAGGTGAAATGAGTGAGATGAACGAAGACGTGAAGTGACTGGTTCATTGAAGGCATGTCAACTCTAGAGGAAATGTCAAGGTAAGAATGACTTGTCGTGAGTTATATTATTAATGTCAAGGTAACGAAGACATGTTATGAGCTACGTTATTAATGTCAAAGTAACGAAGACATGTTATGAGCTACGTTATTAATGTCAAAGTAACAAAGACATGTTATGAGCTACGTTATTAATGTATTAGTTTCTGTGACTGCCCTCATTATGTACATCAGCATTATCTACCGTGTGTCAACACTGTCTACCGTGTGTCAACACTGTCTACCGTGTGTCAACACTGTCTACCGTGTGTCAATACTATCTACCGTGTGTTAATACTGTCTACCCTGTGTCAACATTGTCTACCCTGTGTCAACACGGTAGACAAGGTGACTTATTCTTTACTAAGTTATGATGGAAAGACGTTCACGAGGTATCAGAAGATGAGTGATATGATCTGCGTAAGAAGACACTTATGTACAGTTCGGCACGTTTATTAAAGGAAACGTTTCGCCCATAAATAAACGTCCTGAACTCTCCACGAGTGCAGTCTTCCACAGCCTGGAGGCGTAACAATCATTAAGTCATCTGATTTCCAGATTAAGAATTTCTGATTGTCCCAGACGAGCGAACAGCAGAGATGGTGGAGGGAATAAACAAAGAAACAGAGCAAAAATGGACTAGGAGATTTAGGGAATTAGGAGATAAGTGGAGAATATACTGAGGGAAAGTGAGTATTAAAGCAACAAGCAAGAGGAAGGGAAGGAGCATTTCTAGCGGAGATTAGTCAAGCCAGAGATGTGAAGAAGTAAGCTGAGAGGGAGACTAATACCCAGTAAGGAGACATGACACATGAGAACAAGAGAGACAGTAAGACGTGACAGGTGAAACAGAGATGAGACGAGGAACAGCTGCTAAAGAATAATCCAAGTAGGACCGAAACGCAGAGAGAGAGAGAGAGAGAGAGAGAGAGAGAGAGAGAGAGAGAGAGAGAGAGAGAGAGAGAGAGAGAAGAGTAATGTATGTTTGGGTTGGATGGGGAATTCAGGAATTAACAGACTAAATGAAAGAGAATCGAGGAAGAAAAGATAACAATATTTATTCATTCAATCCAAAAATGATTTACATTATAATAATAATAATAATAATAATAATAATAATAATAATAATAATTATAATTATTATTAATTATTATTATTATTATTATTATTAATTATTATTATTATTATTATTATTATTATTATTATTATCACAGTGATACTGAGGACACAGATGTTGTAGACACAGCAGTGATACATTACGTATTCAGTGAACTCAGTGTAACTTAGAGTGAGTTTCTCAGAGACTCAGTGTAACTTAGAGTGAGTTTCTCAGAGACTCAGTGTAACTTAGAGTGAGTTTCTCAGAGACACAGTGTAACTTAGAGTGAGTTTCTCAGAGACTCAGTGTAACTTAGAGTGAGTTTCTCAGAGACTCAGTGTAACTTAGAGTGAGTTTCTCAAGACTCAGTGTAACTTAGAGTGAGTTTCTCAGAGACACAGTGTAACTTAGAGTGAGTTTCTCAGAGACTCAGTGTAACTTAGAGTGAGTTTCTCAGAGACTCAGTGTAACTTAGAGTGAGTTTCTCAGAGACTCAGTGTAACTTAGAGTGAGTTTCTCAGAGACTCAGTGTAACTTAGAGTGAGTTTCTCAGAGACTCAGTGTAACTTAGAGTGAGTTTCTCAGAGACTCAGTGTAACTTAGAGTGAGTTTCTCAGAGACTCAGTGTAACTTAGAGTGAGTTTCTCAGAGACTCAGTGTAACTTAGAGTGAGTTTCTCAGAGACACAGTGTAACTTAGAGTGAGTTTCTCAGAGACTCAGTGTAACTTAGAGTGAGTTTCTCAGAGACTCAGTGTAACTTAGAGTGAGTTTCTCAGAGACTCAGTGTAACTTAGAGTGAGTTTCTCAGAGACTCAGTGTAACTTAGAGTGAGTTTCTCAGAGACTCAGTGTAACTTAGAGTGAGTTTCTCAGAGACTCAGTGTAACTTAGAGTGAGTTTCTCAGAGACTCAGTGTAACTTAGAGTGAGTTTCTCAGAGACTCAGTGTAACTTAGAGTGAGTTTCTCAGAGACTCAGTGTAACTTAGAGTGAGTTTCTCAGAGACTCAGTGTAACTTAGAGTGAGTTCTCTAGAGACTCAGTGTAACTTAGAGTGAGTTTCTCAGAGACTCAGTGTTACTTAGAGTGAGTTTCTCAGAGACTCAGTGTAACTTAGAGTGAGTTTCTCAGAGACTCAGTGTAACTTAGAGTGAGTTTCTCAGAGACTCAGTGTAACTTAGAGTGAGTTTCTCAGAGACTCAGTGTAACTTAGAGTGAGTTTCTCAGAGACTCAGTGTAACTTAGAGTGAGTTTCTCAGAGACTCAGTGTAACTTAGAGTGAGTTTCTCAGAGACTCAGTGTAACTTAGAGTGAGTTTCTCAGAGACTCAGTGTAACTTAGAGTGAGTTTCTCAGAGACTCAGTGTAACTTAGAGTGAGTTTCTCAGAGACTCAGTGTAACTTAGAGTGAGTTTCTCAGAGACACAGTGTAACTTAGAGTGAGTTTCTCAGAGACTCAGTGTAACTTAGAGTGAGTTTCTCAGAGACACAGTGTAACTTAGAGTGAGTTTCTCAGAGACACAGTGTAACTTAGAGTGAGTTTCTCAGAGACTCAGTGTAACTTAGAGTGAGTTTCTCAGAGACTCAGTGTAACTTAGAGTGAGTTTCTCAGAGACTCAGTGTAACTTAGAGTGAGTTTCTCAGAGACTCAGTGTAACTTAGAGTGAGTTTCTCAGAGACTCAGTGTAACTTAGAGTGAGTTTCTCAGAGACTCAGTGTAACTTAGAGTGAGTTTCTCAGAGACACAGTGTAACTTAGAGTGAGTTTCTCAGAGACAGAGTGTAACTTAGAGTGAGTTTCTCAGAGACAGAGTGTAACTTAGAGTGAGTTTCTCAGAGACTCAGTGTAACTTAGAGTGAGTTTCTCAGAGACTCAGTGTAACTTAGAGTGAGTTTCTCAGAGACACAGTGTAACTTAGAGTGAGTTTCTCAGAGACACAGTGTAACTTAGAGTGAGTTTTCTCAGAGACACAGTGTAACTTAGAGTGAGTTTCTCAGAGACACAGTGTAACTTAGAGTGAGTTTTCTCAGAGACAAGTGTAACTTAGAGTGAGTTTCTCAGAGACAGAGTGTAACTTAGAGTGAGTTTCTCAGAGACTCAGTGTAACTTAGAGTGAGTTTCTCAGAGACAGAGTGTAACTTAGAGTGAGTTTCTCACAGACACAGTGTAACTTAGAGTGAGTTTCTCAGAGACACTGTGTAACTTAGAGTGAGTTTCTCAGAGACTCAGTGTAACTTAGAGTGAGTTTCTCAGAGACAGAGTGTAACTTTGAGTGAGTTTCTCAGAGACTCAGTGTAACTTAGAGTGAGTTTCTCAGAGACTCAGTGTAACTTAGAGTGAGTTTCTCAGAGACAGAGTGTAACTAAGAGTGAGTTTCTCAGAGACACAGTGTAACTTAGAGTGAGTTTCTCAGAGACTCAGTGTAACTTAGAGTGAGTTTCTCAGAGACAGAGTGTAACTAAGAGTGAGTTTCTCAGAGACAGAGTGTAACTTAGAGTGAGTTTCTCAGAGACTCAGTGTAACTTAGAGTGAGTTTCTCAGAGACTCAGTGTAACTTAGAGTGAGTTTCTCAGAGACACCGTGTAACTTAGAGTGAGTTTCTCAGAGACAGAGTGTAACTTAGAGTGAGTTTCTCAGAGACTCAGTGTAACTTAGAGTGAGTTTCTCAGAGACTGAGTGTAACTCAGAGTGAGTTTCTCAGAGACTCAGTGTAACTTAGAGTGAGTTTCTCAGAGACAGAGTGTAACTAAGAGTGAGTTTCTCAGAGACACAGTGTAACTTAGAGTGAGTTTCTCAGAGACTCAGTGTAACTTAGAGTGAGTTTCTCAGAGACAGAGTGTAACTTAGAGTGAGTTTCTCAGAGACACAGTGAAACTTAGAGTGAGTTTTCTCAGAGACACAGTGTAACTTAGAGTGAGTTTCTCAGAGACTCAGTGTAACTTAGAGTGAGTTTCTCAGAGACTCAGTGTAACTTAGAGTGAGTTTCTCAGAGACACCGTGTAACTTAGAGTGAGTTTCTCAGAGACAGAGTGTAACTTAGAGTGAGTTTCTCAGAGACAGAGTGTAACTTAGAGTGAGTTTCTCAGAGACTCAGTGTAACTTAGAGTGAGTTTCTCAGAGACTCAGTGTAACTTAGAGTGAGTTTCTCAGAGACTCAGTGTAACTAAGAGTGAGTTTCTCAGAGACACAGTGTAACTTAGAGTGAGTTTCTCAGAGACTCTGTGTAACTTAGAGTGAGTTTCTCAGAGACAGTGTGTAACTAAGAGTGAGTTTCTCAGAGACAGAGTGTAACTTAGAGTGAGTTTCTCAGAGACAGAGTGTAACTTAGAGTGAGTTTCTCAGAGACTCAGTGTAACTTAGAGTGAGTTTCTCAGAGACTCAGTGTAACTTAGAGTGAGTTTCTCAGAGACAGAGTGTAACTTAGAGTGAGTTTCTCAGAGACAGAGTGTAACTTAGAGTGAGTTTCTCAGAGACACAGTGTAACTTAGAGTGAGATTCTCAGAGACTCAGTGTAACTTAGAGTGAGTTTCTCAGAGACACAGTGTAACTTAGAGTGAGTTTCTCAGAGACTCAGTGTAATTTAGAGTGAGTTTCTCAGAGACAGAGTGTAACTTTGAGTGAGTTTCTCAGTGACACAGTGTAACTTAGAGTGAGTTTCTCAGAGACACAGTGTAACTTAGAGTGAGTTTCTCAGTGACACAGTGTAACTTAGAGTGAGTTTCTCAGAGACAGAGTGTAACTTAGAGTGAGTTTCTCAGAGACAGAGTGTAACTTTGAGTGAGTTTCTCAGAGACACAGTGTAACTTAGAGTGAGTTTCTCA